CTCGCATTTGCAAGATCCATGACAACCAACAATTTCCCAAAAAATAAATAAATAAATAAAACTTTGACTTTTTCAACGTGCCCTTATAATATCGGTTGCATAAAAAAAAATTAAATAATTAAATGGGAAGTTTAGTTTACTTTGTGTCAATGTACTCATTATCATTTAGTACGGATTAATTATCCTCTCATATCCTACGGAACTAGTACAAAACAGATAAAGCCCCAATAAATAAGGATGTGTTCTAGATATTTTGGGTCTTCCCCTCATTTAAGTGACAAAGACTAAACGGGTGGATCAAATTAACATTGCATGCAAATGCACGGTTGATCAATTGTACCAATAGCCAATTAGACTCCACCATGTTTTTACCAGGATAGACACACACCATCAACACTCACAGAGATGATAATGTATTTATCCTCTATCTTTAACACAAAATTAAAAATTATAAAACTGAAAATTACAAGTAAAATAGGTATCAAACGGGTCTTTAAATTTTGCTCACACATGACAGTATTTTTTTTCGCATTAGCAAGATCTATGATAACAACGGGCTTAGACTTTTTTCGATTCTACCCTCATAATATCCCTTTGTAAAAATTAAATGGAAAGTTTAGTTTGCTTTGTATTAAACCCATGTACACATATTCATTATCATTCAAGTAATTAAAAGCGTTTACTTGCATTCAAAATGCTTTAAGACTCAAAGTTTTGATCGATAAATTTTATCTATTAATTATCTGATATCCTATGGAACTAAAACGAAACACGCAAAGCTCAAACACCTTGGATGTCACATCCCGGCCTGGGGCGAATCACTTCCCGGGCCCGCTTCATCACCGTTAGGGGTGGGTTCAAAAAACCGAAAACCGAAAAAAACCGAAAACCAAACCGAACCGAAACCGAAAAAACCGAACCGAACCGAATTCTTTTGGTTCGGTTCGGTTTTAGTGATCTAGAAACCGAACCAAACCGAATTAATTAAATTAATTTTTTTATTTAATTATTTGTTTTGGGTATTATTTTCTAAACCCAATTTGTAAGTTAAAATGTGCTAAACTCAATGTGTTGCCAAACTTTAAGCTCAAAATATTAAAAAAATGCCTATAAAAACTCTAAACCCTAACCTATTATTTCTCCCCCCATATAAGGTTCCAGAACCAAACCTCCTCCTGAAGTACATACATCCATCTCCATAGCACTGTCTACTTCTGCCCCAACTTTCTTTTCCAAATCTACTCTCATATAACATGTAACAGAATCCATAGACATTTATTTCGGGTAGATTACTTGGGTAATTTGTGATGGAAAATAATCCAACACACACTAAATAAATCCACCCACACATTACTTTTACTAATTAAGTTGTCAACATGCAGTTACAAGCAAACAACCCTGATCTTTGAACAACATCATACAATTAAACTTTTCTAAGTCATTTGTACGATTTTTGTGTTGTGAGGTTGTTAGTTTGGACTTTGGAAGACTTGATTGATGATTTTAGTTCAACTTTAAATGTTTATTTTCTTTGTCTTTTATTCTAGTTAGAATGCTTATGTTATGATTGTGTTGGATATGTTAAAATTTAAAATTTCAATGTATTTCATTTTTTGAAAAAATAAAAAAACAAAAAACCGAAACCGAACCGGAAAAAACCGAACAGAAAAAAATCGAAAAAAAAATGAACCGAACCGAAATTTCGGTTTGGTTTCGGTTTTGGCAAAAAACCGAACCGATTTAAACCGAACCCACCCCTAATCACCGTAGCACGATATTGTCCGCTTTGGGCCTTGACCACGCCTTTACGGTTTTGTTTTTGGGAACTCACGAGCAACTTTCCAGTGAGTCACCCATCCTGGAAGTGCTCTGGCCTCCATCTCGCTTAACTTCAGAGTTCCTACGGAACTCGAAGCCAGTGAGCTCCCAAAAGGCCTAGTGCTAGGTAGGGATGAGAATGTACATTTAAGGATCACTCCCCTAGGCGATGTGGGATGTTACAATGGTATCACCCTGACCGGAGAGAGACGTGTTGGCCGTCACGTGAGCGTGACGTAGCCTTGTGCGCAAAGCAGAAGCAATAAAGAGTAAGGAAATATGAACAATTTAAAACCAAACAACTAGCAATCCTAGTTAAGAAAGGATGCTAGTGAGAGTCTAAGTGTATGAATACACTTTCAGAGCAATGAGAAAGTCTAGTTGTAGTCAAGTAGGACAATTACTAAGATACAACACCCGAAGGTGAATCCTACTTCTTCGAATTCTGTCAGAACACCGTGGGATTTCTCGTGGCCACCAAACTCTGCTATCTAAGACCTGGAGGGGCGAAAAAACAAAGTTGAATGGGTCAGTAAAAACATTCTTACACGAAAACCTTATTTTTCTTTGAATATACTAACCCCTCGCCGTAAAACAAGTATATAGATACTTTCCCAGAAAATAGAATACATAAATATATATATAACCAAATAAGCGATTCAGATAAGAATAATTTCATAGAAATATAACATGTTAGCCGGAACCCCTGTGGTAGTCTGTACGGCTGAATTCATAGCTCAAAAGTCAATCTAACCAGAGTCACTACAATGACCTATACGACAATATACTGCACAAGAGTCGGAACCAAATGCAAAGGTTTGTACGACGATAATGGGTGTAATATAATTATGCTCAATACTACTCTCACATAATAGCCGGGCTATAAATCGCTAGTCACCTACGAGTTGGAACCATAAATAAGGTCTGTACGACAAGACTGTACACCTAAATTGGATCCAATGTGAGCATATGGTGCGGGAGGTGACATAATAAATAGGCCTCTGTCATATCTCTGGCTAAAATCACAATCACCCTTCGTGCAGTTTTATGAGCTCAACAATATTCAATTACATATCACATCATCGACAATTCACATAACCAAACATAACTTACCTGAGCTTACCTGAGCCTCCACAGCACCATGCAACAATATGCATAATTATGATAATGCATATACTAAAATAAAATAGGCATAGCATGGCATTTCAATCACATTTTCTTAAATACGTTTTTTGGGAAAAACGTCAAGTGTATATATATACACTACTGAAAATAACTGCCCACTCACAAATATGCAGCTGGGTCGCAACCCCCATGCCTAGCCTGGCTACGCTCGTCCTCCGGATAAGTCTCGCCTATAGAGGCAACAACTATATAAACGTCACTTTAATGCACATATACAAAACTATGTAATAACTCTTCATACATAGCTCATATTGGGTATATGAATATACCACAGTGACCTACACAATCTCAGGATCATCCCTAAATTTTTAGAATAAATTTTTGAGGCCTCACGCGTCGGCGAGTGCACGGCCCCCACGAGCGGCCAACCCTCACGGAATCCTAACTGCCGTTAGGAATATTCCATGGAATATTCCGTTAAAGCTAACGAAATCCTTCTAAACTAACTAATGGCGTGAGAATATTCTGTCAGACTTGACGGAATATTCCTTTATCTCCTACCTCCAGCTCCGGCAACCGTCACCACCGCCGGAAACTGGGCAATTTTTCAAACTCTTTAATCTTGCTCATTTCTTCACCATTTTTCATGCAATTTCCACCAAAATGAAGTTTAGGAGGTAAAGAATTGTGTTATACCTCTTTCACGCCTCAAATCACGTGAAATCAAGTCGAAGAAGTCCTCGAACTCCGACGACCTCTGCAAAACTCCGTTTTCGAGCTTCCCGTGACCCAAATCCTACCAACGATGCACTCCGAGCATCGTGAGGACCTCCTTGAGCTCACTGTGGTCCTAAAATTCACAAAAACTCAAGGGTTTAAAAGTTGATGAATAGTGCCCAAGTCGAAGGTTCATTTTCCAGGGTTTTCTGACGTCCAAAATTGTTCCAATTTATGCCAAAATAAACCAGAGGACTAGGAGATTACCTTTTGAGTCTTAGAATAGCTTGAAACCTCCACGAACTGGTTTGGTGTACTGTACACCCACGGCTCCCTTTCAAACTAGGGTTTCTCGAAGGTTTCCTTGCTGAAAATGGATACCACTCGACTCGTAAGAATCCTAGGAACACACTGGAGACCTCAGAACCTTCGATCCGTGTTGTTTTGGGTTTGTTTGTGTGTGTCCGTATGAGTTCGAAGGGAGAGAGAGAGTGTGTGTGAGTGAGTCTGAGAGAGAGAGCACGGGAAGGAGAGAGAGAAAGGGTAGGTGGGTGTGTGGTTCAAAAGTCACCAATCAAAACTAAGAGAACACTTAGTTCTAATTGGATCCAATAATAGAGGAATAGAACTAATAGGTCCACAACCTTAAGTCAAAACCACAACACTCCATAATAATTCTCAACGGCCAAGGGTATTTAGGTAATTTCACGCCGTTGATAATTAAATAATATACTTCTCTAGGACGGACTGTGACATTAGAAGTACCCAAGGTTTCTCTTTGAATTAAGGTACTTCTTTCTCAAAAACACAACAAAAAAACATAAATTAAGCCCCAACAAATAAAAATGTGTTCTATATTTTTTGGGTTTTCCACTCCATTAAGTGACAAAAACTAAGCGGTTGGCTCAAATTAAGATTACATTCAAGGTTTTGGTAAAAGATGTTTCATTGAGATTACATGCAAGGTTGATCGACCAGATTGGACGCCACCATAGTTTTTTTTTTTTATCTGAATTGTCTCACAGCGACACCATAAAATTTTTGCAATATTTAATCAAGTCTTGGTCGTCCACTTGAAATTAATTTATATTTTTTTCAAATTCCATATGAAATGTAGGACCGATGCCCCCAATAATTAAGTCAAATAGCACACCAACCTTATAGGTGACTTGCCAATTCAACATCTGTCTCTTGCACACCAAATGCATACCGCGTCTGACCCGGTCCAGTGTGAAAATCTTGGTTTTCAAGCAGATTCTTTGTATATATTAACGGTACTTTAAGATATACTCGTTTTCGTGGGGACACAGAAGTCAACAAGAAGTAATACTGTGTAAAAATTAAGCTCCTATAAATACCTTATCATTGGTTTTTAAGAGTCATCCAAGTAGCCCAAGTAGAAATCTAGAGTAAACAGTTCACAGATTCATAAGACTCATTTTCTGTTCCCGAACATGAAGGCAAGCTTTTTCATTTGTTCAGATATAACGTATATATTTAAGTATTCCATTTCTTTAGAGAAACGATTTTGTCAAACATGTTTTTTCGTCAAGGGAGTGTGTGTGAGAGAAAAGATTGTGCGAAATCACTCCGTGTTCTTTATTAATTTGAAATTTTCACCTTTGTTAAGCCAAATCAAACAGGCTTTTAACTATATATGATCTTTGTATATGCAGCAAAAGATAGTCATGAAGGTGCAGCTGACCTCCGAGAGATGCAGAACCAAGGCCTTGAAGATTGCTGCAGTTGCCAAAGGTATGCATCATTAAAATCAAGAAGCAATATGGTGACTATCCAAATGATCATTGATCATTCATATGAATTATTGAAAATTAATTAAATAATCAACTAATGATGAGTCACTGATTAAGCAGGTGTGAGCACGGTGTCCATACAAGTAGAGAAAGAGCATGTTGAGGTGATCGGAGACGAAGTTGATGCAGTTGACTTGGCTAAATCATTGAAGAAGAAGCTTGGCTTTGCCACCATAGTAAGTGTTGAAGAAGTGAAAAAACCGGAAGAAAAACCAGCTGAGCAGCCTGAGCCAATTCAATGGGCATCAAACTATATTCACTATCCACAGTATCCAGCTGTGCAGTACTACTATGATGGATCCTACAGATGGTAAATTCAGCAATTCAAAATTAAGTGAGTTTGACGACTCAGCAATTCGTGGCCCCTAGTTTGAATCGGCTGTTGGAAAATATTAGTGTTTATGTTTATTTTATTATTTAGATTTTTCTTGTTAGTTTAGAAATTGGGTATAGCCCATCCGAATTAGGGTTTCTTAAGTTTAGTTCTCTATAAATATTATTTGTAATTTAGTTTGAGAAACAAATAATTCACAATGTAACCTCTTAGAGTTTTGTAGTCGTTTCGGTATTCTCGTTTGTTTAATAATATTCTTATTATTGTGTAGTTTTGTAGTCTTCCTCCTGCAACAGACCTCAAGAATCATGTTGTACACATTTGTTTTTTACCGCAGGCCCTCTCAGTGCCAGTGGTTAAATAACTGTTGTGGAAAGTGTAGTTTCTTGTAATTTTGCTCTCTTATGTGATTCTTATCTAAATTTTGTTGATTACAGTTTATGCGTTACTTTTAATTAAGGTTACCGTTACCCATATATCTTTGTTAAATATTGTTAGTGTAAAATTGGCAATTTCTAACAAAATGTCTAAGTCTGTAACGTTTTAAACTAGAGGTGTGCTATCCACACACCCCAAATTACTTCTCACACACCCTTTGTTAATTTATGTTCGTTGATTTTCTTCAATTCATCCGATCCAACGGTCGAAAATTAGAAGGGTGTGTGAGAAGTAAAATAGGGTGTGTGAATATCACACCCCTTTAAACTAGTGTATGTTTTTTGTTGTAATATTTAAATCCAAATTTGTCTTTAGTGCTCTCGAACTCACAAAATGTCAAGCGCTTTATAGACATTCACTCGAATAAGTTCAACATGCATATGCATTCATATAGTCTAAGTTTGTGTTCAATGGACTATTTAGTTTTGGGCTTTACACATTAATTAGTTTGTTTAACTAAGATTTTATTTATATGAAAACTAATGAAAATGATTTGAAAACTTTGAGTTTTAACGATAAGGACAAAATAAAGGATAAAATGAATAGTACTAGGATTGACTTTTTAGGATAAAAATATAATTTTTTCGTTAAAATAAATAGTACTGTGAGCTTTTCGTTAAGAGGTCGCACTTGGTGCGATGGCAAGTGCCTTCGCCCATGAGCGGTAGGTCTCGGGTTCGAGACTTGGGAGCAACCTCTCCATAAAATGGGGGTAAGGCTAGCCGACATTCACCTCTCCCAGACCCTGCGTAAAACGGGAGCCTTGTGCACTGGGTACGACATTTATCTTAATTAAAAGCCCATGTCATTTTAATTAGCCGCATACCCTAGTCCTAGGTTAGTACATAATGATCTGCACATTTCATAAATATTAGATCAGTTTGTATCCATCAGGGAATTGACAGCAGCAGGATCTCATTGTTGTAGCTTTAGCTAGGTTACCAAAAGAATGTCACTATTAGAACAGTAATTCTTGCAAGGGAAAGTGCTATTTCAATGGGAGGCAGACATATTCCTTCCTATTTGTGCTGTTACGGTTAAATCACGTCAACATTTTATATTCTTATTATTTTTTGTCTTATTATCTCTATTAAAAAATCAATATAAAATATTGATGTGACTTAACCGTAATCGCACAAATAGAAGAAGATGAGAAGAGTATGATAACAGGAGGACAGACAATCTGTCTTCATTTCAATGAACGAATTGAGGGCATTACTTTGGTGCTGAAAGACAGAATGATATGGTAATCAATGCCTTGTCCCGTAATATGTCAGCATTACATATGCGGAGCAGTTCAAGCTTATCCAGTGGGATTTCAGTTTCATAATGGTGCTTCTAGTTTGGATTCCTCTTATACTTATTCTTCTAGTACTGGTGGTAGAATTACAGTATTTCTCCAATGTCTAATATTCCTCCTCAACCTCCTATATACCCCAAGTCTCAGAATAATGGCTCATTTTCTATTCCATGCCACATCTACCAATGGGTTTGGTTCTGGTTTTGTTGGAAATATGGATCCTTTCTCCGAGAGTTCATTTGGACAAATGAAGGTCAAAAAAGGTCAACAGAGATTTTAAAATGGAGGTCAACAAAGAGGGAATGATAATTTCAAGTCTAACTACAAGGGTAGAGGTTCCAATATTTCAGGCAGAGTAATGGTTAGTCTGGAAATACTATTTCAAGGACTCCTTAGGCCATCTCCAACCGAAGGGTCCAGAGGGCCAGAGGGCCGAAAATATCCTGAAAACCGTCTCCAACCGAGGGATAGGCCAGATGGTTCTGGAATCTGGGAGGGCCCTACAGAATCAGGGAGGGCTGGAGGGCTGGCCAATTTTTTTTTTGAAGTGTTGGATTTCCTGTCGGTTAAAACCGACAGGAATAGTATAGAATATAATGAATTAAGGCTGACGGCAACTGGGATATTTATTAATTAGTATTAGTGTCGGTAACTCCGCCATGTAAGTTTATCTTACATTGCTGGTCCCAAGCCCGGATAAAGGAGGAGGGGGAGGGCGTCAAGTAGTCGACAGCCGGCACTCCATGATCACGTCGAATCCTTATGAAAATGAATCCAGAACGAAATCGCGCTAAAGCTAGGGCGTCACCCGTAAGTGGCGCGCTGTGTGGCCCGAGCACAGTGATAAGTGAGCAAGGGTCGCTGTATCTCCATCGGCACCCGGATGCAGTGTTAAATGAGCAAGGGGGCTATAGAAACTTCTTTTCGAACGACTCCACTCAAAGTTGTTTGGGAGCATATGCTCCTATCAACTTTACACGGGACACACAAAAGAAGTACTTTGATCCTATTAGACGGGGAAGGGTGAATAAGCTAGGACAGAAGGGTAGAGTTCAAGAGAACAAAATGCGTTTAGGAACGTGGAATATAGGAACCTTGACGGGAAAATCTATGGAAGTAGTAGAAGTTATGGTGAGGAGAAGGATAAATATTATGTGCCTACAAGAAACTAAGTGGGTTGGGCGTAAGGCAAAGGATCTAGAAAACTCAGGGTTTAAACTATGGTATTCGGGCACAAATAGAACGAGAAACGGTGTTGGCATCATCGTGGACAAGACCTTGACACAAGATGTTGTAGATGTCAAGAGAGTAGGAGATAGAATCATGGCAATCAAGATTGTAATAGGACAAGAACTTATCAATGTGATTAGTGCGTACGCACCTCAAGTAGGGTTGGATACGAGTTCGAAGGAGAAATTTTGGGAAGACCTTGGAGACTTGGTGCAAGGAATTGCTCAGACGGAGAAGTTATTTATAGGAGGAGATTTAAATGGACACGTGGACAGGGAGACAGGCAACTATGGAGGTTTTCATGGTGGCCATGGTTTTGGGGAGAGAAACGAGGATGGGGAAGCTATCTTGGATTTTGCAATGGCATATGATCTCTTCTTAGCCAACACCTTCTTTAAGAAGAGAGAAGAACATGTGATCACCTACAAGAGTGGGTCGTCAAAAAAACACAATAGATTTTCTTCTAAGGAGGAAAGGGGATCGTATAACTTGTAAGGATTGCAAAGTTATACCAGGAGAGAGCGTGGCTAATCAACATCGCTTGTTGGTGATGGATGTACATATCAAACGAGTGAGAAAAAAGAACAAGACTTGGAAGTGCCCAAGGACTAGATGGTGGAATCTAAAAAGAAGAAAAACAAGCCATTTTCAAAGAGAAAGTAATCACCCAGTGTGTGTGGGGATAGAGAGGGGGAAGCTAACCAAATGTGGGATTCCATGGCTAGTTGTATCCGAAAAGTAGCAAAAGAGGTATTAGGAGAGTCCAAGGGCTTTGCCCCACACCAAAAGGAATCTTGGTGGTGGAATGAGGAGGTACAAACAAAGGTGAAGGCTAAGAAGGAATGTTGTAAAGCCTTATACAAGGATAGGACCGATGAAAATGGTGAAAGGTATAAAAAAGCGAAGCAAGAGGCGAAGAAAGCTGTGAGAGAAGCTAAGTTAGCGGCTTATGACGATATGTATAAGCGACTAGATACCAAAGAAGGAGAGTTGGATATCTATAAACTAGCTAGAGCAAGGGAAAAGAAGACAAGGGACCTAAACCAAGTGAGGTGCATCAAGGATGAGGATGGAAAGGTTCTTGCTACAGAGAACGCGGTTAAAGACAGATGGAAATGTTATTTTCATAATCTTTTCAATGAAGGACATGAAAGGAGTGCTTCTTTAGGGGAGTTGAGTAACTCAGAAGAGTGTAGAAACTACTCTTTTTATCGTAGAATCCGGAAGGAAGAAGTGGTTGTAGCTTTGAAGAAGATGAAGCATAGAAAAGCAGTAGGTCCAGACGATATACCAATCGAAGTGTGGAAAGTTTTGGGAGAGACAGGTATAACATGGCTTACTGACCTTTTCAATAGGATTTTGAAAACGAAGAAGATGCCAAATGAGTGGCGAACGAGCACTTTGGTGCCTATCTACAAGAATAAGGGCGATGTACAAAATTGCATGAACTATAGGGGTATTAAGCTAATGAGTCATACAATGAAGCTCTGGGAGAGAGTCATTGAGCATAGATTGAGGTAAGAGACACGGGTTTCGGACAACCAATTCGAGTTCATGCCAGGGCGCTCAACCATGGAGGCAATCTATCTCTTACGAAGATTGATGGAAAGATATAGAGATGGGAAAAATGATTTACACATGGTCTTTATAGATTTGGAAAAAGCGTATGATAGGGTCCCAAGAGACATTCTTTGGAGGATTTTAGAGAAGAAAGGAGTACGAGTAGCATATATCCAAGCTATACAGGATATGTATGAAGGAGCAAAGACTGCCGTAAGAACTCATGAAGGACAAACCGAAAGCTTCCCCATAACTGTAGGATTACATCAAGGCTCATCCTTAAGTCCTTACCTTTTTGCGTTGGTAATGGATGAGTTAACAGGACATATTCAAGATGATATTCCTTGGTGTATGCTATTCGCAGACGATATAGTGTTGATAGATGAAACTCAGGAAGGGGTAAATGCAAAGCTTAACCTTTGGAGAGAAGTGTTGGAATCTAAAGGTCTTCGCCTAAGCCGATCAAAGACAGAATATATGGAGTGCAAGTTCAGTGCAAATGGAGGCCAAAATGAGTTAGGGGTGAGGATCGGAGATCAAGAAATACCAAAGAGCGACCGTTTTCGTTACCTAGGATCTATCTTGCAAAAAGAACGGAGAATTAGATGGAGATCTCAACCATAGAATACAAGCTGGATGGATGAAGTGGAAGAGTGCATCCGGCGTGTTGTGTGACCGCCGTATGCCACTGAAGCTCAAGGGAAAATTTTATAGGACGGCAATAAGGCCGGCGATGCTGTAT